ACCCTGCAATGATCATTATTGCCTATCTATGAGTCTAGACACATGTTTCAGAAGTTCTAGGATGCTTGTCGGGGTGTGACAAGAACTTGAAGCTGTGCAAATTTGCTGGGGGAGAGATGTAGCGAGGCATATCTCACCAGCCTGAGAATTAACCTTTCTTCAAGTTGGTTGGCAATTTATTCATTTATTGAAATGACTCAGGGGCTACTTGCAGAAATGCTGATTTTGTGGAGCATTAGCGTTCTCCAATTTAGGGGAGATATTTTGAGTGTAAAACAAATAAAGGCCACCACAAAGGCTCCATGCAAGTGAAGGACTCTGCAAGCGTAGCTTGCTTGATGCTCAGGGACTCTGCCTCTGGACGCAGAGGTATGTCATGTGAATACCTCTCCTGGCCAAGACTCAGCCCTCCTGTCACCTTCGCAGCAGACAGCCAAGGAGAAAGAAGTAACTCGGATTCTGACAGCGTACCGAGCGTGGAGGCATCTCGAAGGCTGCTTGTCGGATCCCTTCAGAAGGGACTGTTCAGTGAAACCAACATCAGAACTTGTGGCTTCCTTAGGAACAGCACATCCTGATTGAGGGCTTATAGAGCCCCAGAATTCCTTATGAGACCACATATAAAGCTTAGTGTTGATGGTTGCTGGTTTATTATTGGACTGCCTTTGACTGAATCCCTTTATCCTGACAATGCTACCATCTACAGAGCAACTAGAGTAGTTTGTGCAGAGGTGTGTATCATCTACAAGGCCAAACATCTGCTGCCAAGGATGCTAAGTGTCAAGATGAGCTTGCGAGTTGTTAACCTCAGGCAATGCTTGTTGACACATGCTGCAATGGGCACTATAAGCTAGTACGTTATTTGAAAGAACCAAACTGAGAAAGAGCTGGAAAAAATTCCCATCAAGTGATCTGTATAATCACGTTGGGTATGGTGTGCTTGAGTTGTGTTCTATTTGAAACATATGTGCCAAGTACATGTAAATACACAGACATACATGTAAACATGTGTTTCTTCTTGAAAAGATCATTCCTTCTTTGTCTCTTACCTATTTGAGAACAAATTGTTCAAACAGCCCTCAAATGCTAGATAACATGGTCTTCAAGTGCTAGTAATATAAAAATGACTGTGATTTTATAAGTGATATCATTGCTATCTGTGGAACTGGCATTTATACTATTTTTCAAATGTGCAACCATCCTATTTCCTAGTCTTTATTCCTTTATTCACTGAAATGATGATATGGGGAGCTTAGACTCTCAGAAGAGGGGATAATGGTTTTGACCTTAATAGAGGGTTTGACTTGTGGTTCATCCCATAGACTCAATTCCAAGAGGTTACAGATGTTTTCGCCTCTGAATCTTTTCCTCTTTATTGTTAAGGAGACTAATTGTGTGTGATTGTGTGCACTTGAGCGTGCGTGTGACAGGAAATGTCAAATTCCTTTTGGTTTTTCTTTTTGTGGTGGCAAACATAGGCGGGCATTCTTTTCACATTTTTTTTTTCTGTAGGCGAAGTGTGGGAAGGAAGGGTGAGTATGTCAATTCTCAGAATAAGATATTCTACTAAGATGGGGAGCGGGGAGGAAAAAGTAATTTTCAACAGCTAGGAGAGGACTGCCACAAGTGGTAGTCGATCGCATCGATGACATGGTGTCATAATGTGGTCTTGGTGTCAGCAAGAAAACGTCAGGGGGAAACCTGCAGGAGCCCATTTTGCAAGTCCTAAACCAAGAAATTATATGGAACTTGGAACCATTCGAAGGTGGTGTGTACTACTGTTGGTTCTTCTAATGGTGTCAAAGAGAATTTGTGAGGATGTCCACAAGGAAGGGCTTGGTCTGCTATTCATACTGTTTGAATGACAGAGAACATACGTTTTTGCCTTGGATGTGCATCTGAACCTACTGTCTGGGAAGCATGGTTCTAGGTGGCGTGGCTTCCCATAAATGAGTCTGCATCTTGAAGAGGGTACCGAGCTGAATACCTGAGCGATATTCTATTGATCTAAACTCATTTCCCGGTGTGGTGATCAACGAGCTGAACAGCTTGCAAGTTATAGCTGGAACAATGGCTCACCCTACATAACTCTCAGAATAATTATGATTCTAGGTTTTAGGCTGGAAATTATTTAAATGAAAGATTATTTACAAAGAGAACAGCAGGGGGAAGAATCATGTAAATTAGATTAATTAAATGGACAGATTCACTCACAGTTCATCTTGGGATAGTTCATGCCCGATTTCTCTGATGTCATCTGTTGTTCAGGTTAATAATTAGTTATGCTCATTATTAACTGACGGAGCGTGCTTTGCGTGTTTGCAGACGGAGGCATATGATTAGGGGAAAAAACCTATGAATATTGTACTTTCAGTATGAATACAAGAGTTTATTTGCGAAAATGGAACTTTTATTTTCCTCAACAATTCAATATCATGATGATTTTGAAGGTGGCTTTACAGAATATATTTCTCTTTACTAATATACAAATAACAAGAATAAAAGGGAACAGGACAAAATATTCATACTAACTAGCTTCTCTGTTTGGAAGTGAAAATAATATTTTTAGATATATTAAGACATATTTTTATAGGCCAAGTTGCAGATCTCTTAAGAAATCCAATAAGATGATGCCCATTTGTGAGATTTTATGAGCAAAAATTAAGTTTAAAACTCTTTTACAATTCCTTCAAATGCAGGAAATATATGGATCTAGGAAGGGATGACATTAGTCCATTTAAAACTCTTGAAATGCCTAATATAGCTTGCAGTTCTTTATGTCTGGGTTCTGTGTAATTGAGTGACCCTGACCTTGAGGATATAACAAGTTCGTGCCCACCATTAATGCTTCTCCCTTAAAACACCAAATGTTTCCTGGAATGTAATTGTTTCTTTTTTTTCTTTTCAAAAATACTTGACTCTGTGAAATATTTTACAGTTACGTCATTTCCTCATTTACAATTCTTTCTTGTTTTAGTGTGTTGGAAGAGGAAAAAAAAGTGTCACGCAGTTTTAATTACAACTGAACAATAATAACATAATAACATCCTGAGGTGTTTATCATGAATGTAAATTCTGAGGGCAGTGAAACGGATCGATAATGGTGATTGACATAATAAGTGGGTGAAGGAGAGTATGGGGGAGCATATTTGAACGTTTTGCTTGCAGGACAGAGTAGAGGGAATATCAGGAATAGGGCAGTGCGGAGGACTGCTAAGTTTACTTCAGGATCTAATTCCTAGTGTGTCTTTGAGGCGGACAAGTGAACATTGCAAGTAAGCTCCACTGATTTGTCTTGAATTTGCAATTCATCTGTTTCCATTTTACTTTTTGTTAATTGTTTTATTTCTAGTTCATTTTATTTTTGTAAAGATGTATTAATTTGAAAGACATAGTGACAGTGAGAGAGAGAGGGAGAGAGAAAGAGAGAGAGAGAAAGTGACAGAGAGAGAGAGATCAATTAGGTCAGGTCATTACCAGGAGCCAGGAGCTTCATCCAGGTCTCTCACACTGGTGGTTGGCACACAAACACTTGGGTCATCCATCATCTGCTGACTTCCCAGGTGCAGGAAGCTGGATCATAACTGGAGCAACTGGACTGGCACTCATAAGGGTTGATGGCATTGCGTCCAGCAGCTTAACCACTGAGCCACAACAACTGAACCCTTTCAGTTTATTTTAATCCAAGAGTATTAAGAAGGCCATACATGGATAGAGAATAGTGAGAAGAGACATTTGGCCAGAGCCTTTATTAATTTTAGCACTTAATGGACATAGGCAGATGGAGAGGGAAACGATCAGGAGGAAAAATAGGAGGAGCCACACAACAAGGTTGAGTTAGGGGACAGAGAAGAAACCTGCATCATCTGCTGCTAACAAAGGCGTGTTGGAAGAGAAATAGAATCTGTCCCTCTGGTTCAGTGAGACAGGCGTCATTGTCAGCCTAGCGAGCTGCTTTGGGAAAGCGCTTGGTGTGACGTCAGGTGGGTGTTGCTGAGGAACGAGTGGAAGGAGAGCAATGGAGCTGCAGGTGTCATCGGCCTCTCTAAGGAGTGTGTCCACAGAACGTTAGATGACACAGGATGATACATGAAGGAGCTGTGAGATTATGGCTGCTCTCCAATGATTAAGACTGAAGCACGCTTAAAGACTAATTCCAAGGATTTACTTGAGAAGGAATGATTGACTATCATAAAAAAGGGGAAAAAAAACAAAACAAAACCAGAGGTTCATTTGATTTAACATTTGAGAGATTGGTTGAGTCAGTTCCCATCTAATGGCTCCTATAATCCTTGCAAAATTGGAGGTTATATCACTTGTTGAGAATGAGATGAGAAGTGGGGGATGAAGATCTGAGGCAAGAGAAGGTAGATTTAAAAAAAATCAACTGAAGGTTGAAATGATGAAAGAGGTGAAAAAGGGAGGCTAGTAGGGGTCTGCATGAGGTTGGAGATCAGTAACAGTCAACATATTTGTATAACTGTCCATGACAGCTTTTCTGATGCAGTCCCCAAAAGTAACGCGTTGGATTCACTATGCCTTGGGTTTTGCCATAGGAGTATAACAAATGATAGCAGAGTCTGAAGTGTTTCCTAGAGCGTGATTGAAATGATGGAGCAAGGATTCCAATGGGGAGGTAGGGAAAGGATCGGTAACAACAAAGATGAGTTCCCATCAAGTTAAAGAATCATCTCTCTAAATTGCTATAGCAGGAGATGAAGAATAATTTTTAGGATTTTAGAACTATGAAGAACTTTTAAGATCTTATAACTATGAAAACAGTGCATATAAACTGAGGTGTAAAAGAAAACTAAGTCCAGTTTTAACAACTGTCTTGACTTTAAATGCTTTGGAGTGTCCATGCACAGACAAAACAAAGTTGAGATAAGCCAGGCTTACTCATGTTCTTATCTGAATGCTCGTTTCTCTGCTTATACCAGTTGGGATTCTCTCAGCCTTAATAAATTTGAGGGAAAAAAATCCTTTTCTTTTGTCTTAAGGGTCATGAAAGATTATTGCACCTGAGGGACTGAAGACCATATGAAGAAGAACACGAAACAAGAGAACAAAAAAAACCCCACAACTTTACTCAAATAGAAACCTCATTTAATGTTCACTTTTTTTCTCAGTGAAATGAAAACTGAGTTAAGTGCCAGAGAACACTGATATTGATGTTGTTAGAAAAACTTTGGTATAATCATAAAGCCTTATGTCTTCTGCACTACACAGCCTTTTTTATATCATTTAATGTGTATTAAAACATGCTGAGACAATGGAAAAGAAAGAAAACATTATGTAGAAACCAAGAGAAAAAAAAACAGTGAGGAAAAACCTTATAGTAAGACTTTACAAAAATTTTCAGGCAATTCTTATCAATTGCCTTCACTAAACCCATAAGTAATGTGGTCAATGGGACATTTCACTTTTTTTTCCAGAGAAGAAGTGATTTTTCTAGAAATGAAAAATGAAAGCAGATGGAATAGTCTCCTCATCTACTAAGTCTCACATAAGCATACAGTGTCTAATAATTCAAGGACCTGAACTTTGACCTGGTAGGAGACCCACACAGTGCCAGAAGATGCCAAGATGTGAGCTTATGAAATGATGGCTAGAGCTGTTCACAGCAAGGAACACCCAAAGTATATGGTCCCATTGCATTTGGCCATGCACTGGCTCAGTGATTTTCATAAGCATGGCAACGCATCACTCTGGCTTTCATAGGAAAAGGACTCCATACTTGAGATAAGCAGGTGGTGGTTGTGGGAAGAAGCAGAGATAACTCCATTAGCAAATGGAGTGGCAAGGAAGTAGAAGGAAACGTCTAGAACCTCACTAGAACCAGCAGAAACAGGCAAATGGAGATATGACAATGAAATTAAATTTCCACCAAAGAGAACGTGTCCCAAGAAAATGTCAGGATTCCCTCCACTGCCCCCTGTGCCCACCAAATCAGAAACCAAGCAATCAAAAGGAAACTATATCTAAGACACAAAACAGAGATGGAGCCTCTGTTTTCTTATCTGTAAAGAGGCAATAATGCTTCTCTCCATGATATGAAGAACACTTGTGCTGCCACTTGCTCACTCTTAACAGCCATCGTACTTGACTTGGGCTACCCAGCTCTTCAACCTTGTCTTTTAGATATGTCGCATGTATTTTCTAGATAATTAATGAGTGAGCAGCTATTTTTAACCCAGTGCTGAAAGGATTATTGTGAAACCATAATGATGAAAGAGCTACACTAAGAAAAAATAATATTTGTAAGGTGACAGTCAATTTAAGGAACACCATCAAAACGATGAGGCCACAGCCTGTCAGGAGTAACGCAAGACTGTCAGAAACGTGATAAAGCTGGTCAGGCTGGGACATGGGGCTGGAGTTCAGCAGCTATGGACAGTCGCATATTCAACCTTATTTAATAATAGGAAAGGCAGATTTACAAAGAGAAGGAGAGACAGAAAGATCTTCCATCCATTGGTTCACTCCCCAAATGGCTGCAATGGTCAGAGCTGAGCCAATCTGAAGCTAGGGGCCAGGAGCTTTTTCCCAGTCTCCCACACGGGTGCAGGGACCCAAGGCTTTGGGTCATCTTTCTTTGTTTTCTAAGGCCACAGGCAGGGAGCTGGAAGGGAAGTGGTATGAACCAGTGCCCATATGGGATCCCAGTACTTGAAGGTGAGGATTTAGACACTGAGCTGGGCTCAAAGAATATTTTGTTATAATCCTTCCTATTGTGCAATAGGATTTGGATTGAAAAGACTGTAAAGTGTATTCTAATTTCCAAGCTTATTCAAAACACGGGGGCGAGTTTTGATGTAGCCAAGGCATCACTGGGACACCTGAATCTCGTATCAGATTGTATGTGTTAAGTGCTGGTCCTGCTCCTGACCCCAGGTTCCTGCTAATGCACAGCTTGAGAGTCCCCAGGTTATGGCTTAAGTGGTTGGGTTGCAGCCACCTGTGAGGAGGAGCAGATGAGTTCCTGGTTACCGGCTCATGCTTTGCCCAGCCCCAGCTGTTTGGGCCCATTTCTTTCCCCTAAGCTCCATACTAGGTATTTTAAGCAGAACAGTGTGAAAACCACAACAATCCTGCCAGGGAAGTATTATTTTCTCATTGTCATCATCTTCATTGTATACAGGTTAGGATATGAAGGCTCAGAGAGTTCAAGTATTCGTCCCAGCATCACGGAGCTAGTAAGTGGCCAAGGTCTTCCCACAGCTATTTGACTCCTGCCTCCTGCTTCTCACTTACTGAGTTTGAATCTGACTTGGAAGGATGTGGTCTATTGGTGCTGTATTCACAAGTTAGCTTCATGGTTAAATGAAGTGAATTCCATAGCTAGGAGACAAGTTGATGAGACTGAATTAGCACAAACCACTACTAAATAAGTGCTCTTGTTTTGCCTCTCCTAGAGCAGGTTATCAATTGCAGAGCATTCCCCCCCAGGAGAGAGCAGCTCCGAGAGGAAGAGCAGAGTTCAAGCAGAGGTCTAGAGAACTCCATCTGCGGAGGCAAGACTGAGCAAGTGGCTTGTTTACAAAGAACAGGCTCAGCAAGAACACAAGGCAGGTTCCTATAAACAGGATTCTGGGGAAGGCAGAGCCAGCCGCCCTCATCTTCTCGCTGCATGAAGCCGCTTCCTGCCTTCCCTGTTTCTTTGTCTAGCCTGAGAGGCTCTCCAGTCCTCTGGGGCTGAAGATCACCTCCCGCAGTCACACAGACTCCTTGCCACTGGCACCCATCTGGCTCTTTCTCTTTGTAGCTCTGCTGCTCTTAGCAAATGTACCAGCTAGATTCTGTGGACTTGGGTCAGGGTGTTTCAGCACTGCAAGCACCTTTCTGTTCCCATTGCAAGCACCACACTTTAGGCCTCCGTGACTTCTCCTTAATCAATGCTATACTAGCAATCTTTCTAAAACAAGTCTTAATGTCACTCCTGCGTGAATCATCTGATTCCTCATTATCCCGAAGGCCTTCACCCAACACTCACTATCTTTTAGAGTTCCCTGAATACAGTTTTTCAGTTGCTCCTTCTCCAACAGCCATGCTCAATGTGCCAACCTGCAAATTCTGTCTTCCTTCCAAGTGCCTGTGATGCCTGCCCACATTCCTGCCTTTGCTTGTAACCTTCACTTTGCCTGGGAAAACAATTAATAGGCATGTCTCATGTTTGTTTGGTGCTTCCTGGTTTTCAAAGTAATTTCACTTACTTTTCCATTTGAAAAATCACAGCTACCTTGCAGGGCAATTGTGAAGATAGTTATTTTGCAATTATGTAATAACGCCTCAGGACAGGATAGGAGCTTGAGGTTCCAGAGCTGAGAGAATGGGACTGAGCTGGGACTCGGGTCTCATCTCTCCACCCACAACCCTGAGCTCTTTTTCTCTCTTCTTCATCTAGCCTTTCCTTTGGCTCTGTCCAGCTGCTAATGTTCAGATTCCACCTTTTTCTCAAAGTCCAGCTCCAAACCACCAACTTCATCAACTCTTGCAAAATAAACCCCGAAGTACAGATGGCTTATTCTCCTTGAGCTCTTACAGCTCTGTGTCCAATAGGTGGGAAGATCTGAGAGTTCCTACCTAGGGATTGGAGGCCCACACATGATTACCTATTAAGAAGCATATTTCGTCAAGACCCTCGGTTTATATATATGTACACGCCTGAGACAGCAGTTTCAAAAATTCAGACTTGGTCCCGGCAGTGTGGCCTAGCCTTGAACGTGCCCGGGATCCCATATGGGCGCCGGTTCTAATCCTGGCAGCTCCACTTCCCATCCAGCTCCCTGCCTGTGGCCTGAGAAAGCAATAGAGGACACGGTCCAAAGCTGCAGGACCCTGCACCCATGTGGGAGACTGGGAAAAAGCTCCTGGCTCCTGGCTTCAGATTAGCTCAGCTCTGGCCATTGTGGCTACCTGGGGAGTGGACCAGCAGATGAAAGATCTTTCTTTCTGTCTCCCCCTCTGCAATCTGCCTTTCCAACAAAAATAAATATGTTTTTGATTCCCAACAGGAACACCAACAGTTCTTACCAGGCGAGGCCAGGCAGGACGGGCCTCTGCTTCAGCATCAGCTTCCGCTGTGGACAGTCAAGGACAGGATTCTAACAGAGCCAATGCCAGGGGAGGGGCGGGTCCATGCCCAGAAGGGACGTCTCCAGAGCCATGAGACTTGGGGATGCTGAGGGACACTTCTCAGTTAGGCCTGTCTGTAGACTAAGAAGAGACTCACTCAATACCATTTTTGCATATAGCAGGAAATCAGCTAGAATTTAAAAATAATAAAAATGTAATAAAACTCTTTGTTTATGTCTGCACGGCAAGTCTGAAGGCCTTCGGGCCTATAAACCTGTCACCGAATTTAGTATCATTTCAACTTTATGAAGCACTTGATGTTTGCAAAGTGCTTGTACAATTACCAATTACCATAATGTTCATCTTCTGAACATTTCCATTCAGAGAAGGCCTGAGGACTTTACATGAAGCCAAACAGGGGAAAAAAAAGTGTGTGTGTGTGTGTGTGTGTGTGTGTGTGCAAACTGGCCAAGCTAGTTAAAGATTGAGTGTGTACCATGGGAGCTGCATGGCCTTCTTGCTTCAAAAGGTTCTGGGCAACCCCCTCTTCTTTCAGCACCCAGACTTTAGCACACGCAGTTGGCCTGGGTCAGCCTCATCTGACTCACATGAATGCCTTGATCTTGGGAGCTTTGTGGAAAGCCCGAGTGAAGGCGCCAGCCAGGGATGTGGGAAGCTCTCTGCCATCACTGAGAAAGCGGAGTGAGGAAACGGACAAAGCTGTTACGGCCTTTCCTGGCTTAGCTTTAAACACACACAGTAGTCAAGGATTACTGCTATGTTGCTTAGTAGTCTATCAGCACCAGAACTTGGTTCTGGCCAGGTTTATGGGCACCAGGTCCAGTGGAACCTAACACGCTGGTGGATTTCAAGGAATTCCAAGGATATGGCTTCAAGGGATGTCAAAGGCCATATTTTTAGGATGCGTCTGTTTCCTTTGGGAAAAGGTTCATTGTCTTATGCTTACTCCTGTACAACTCAAATCCCATAGCACCAGCTACGATTGGCAAGTGGCTTCCGCAGGAAGCTAATGTGCCACTTAGAGGGTTAATGCTATTCTATCTTACTATTTAGGAACAAAAAGAAGCCTTTTTCTTTGAAGTGTATTTTGATTCAAATTTTTTTCTTTTGCTAGAGCATGCTCATGACTAGAGATTTAAGAATCAGTGTCTTGAAGCAGGCTGTGAAACACTGCTTGAAACACCTGCATATAATATTGAGGATCCTGGGTTCAAATCCCAGCTCCACTCTGGATTCCACCTTGCTCCTTATGCACACCCTCAGGTGCAGCACGCATCGGCTCAAGTGGTTGGGCTCCTGCCATTGCAATGCGAG